TGGGCTGGACTGAAGTGGGGCTGCCCGATGTGTAGACCCACAGATGCTGTCAGGAGGGCAGAGCATGCCAATACAGTCCACACCCAAAATAACTTGCCACCCGCCACCCCCAGCTGAGCCCTGGCTGGCTCCTGCCCCCTGCCAGCCCGCGCTGTGAGTGAACCCTGCACCCTGAGCCACTTTATTATGATGGTTTTCGGTTGCGTTCCCCTCCTCTCCCACCCCCTGCCCAGGGACTCGGCGGTACGCTGGCCCAGCTGGAGGGTGCCAGGGCTGTCGGGCAGGGTGGGCGCTCCCCGTTGGAGGCCCAGCTGGGATTTGGGCTCAGCGGGATTGGCAGGGGGAGCTGGGCAGGCAAGAGGGCACCCCCGCCCGGGCTGCCTCCGCCGCTCACCTGCCCGTGTCTCCTGCAGATCGTGGCCGCCCTGGACGCCAACCCCACGACAAAGCGCACCCAGCTCCAGCACAAGTTTGAGCAAGTGATTGCGCTCATGGAGGATAACATCTACGAGTGCTGCAGCGAAGCCTAGGCTGACCACAGCCCTGGAAGTGACCTTCTCCGCAGCGCAGTGCCGTAGGGAACCTGCCTTCAGCCGTGGGTGTGCCGTGGATCGCCTCCGCCAGGGTCGCTCTCAGACAGCCTTGTAGGGGTGGGCCTGACCCGCGGCTGAAGGGCTCCCTCACCTATCAAGAAGCCAGGAGACACCTTCCCGAGCAGCTCAAAAACCCTCTGGTCTGCACTGTGGCACCCATAATTTATTTGCTGTTGCCAGCCAGAAATGGAGACATGACACTTGTGGCAAGCTCCGTTCACCACTTCCCTCTGATCAGCGCTGAGCGGTCGGCAGCTCCCTGCATCCCTGTTTGTGGTTCCTCGGGACGAGAGGTGGGGCTGCAGGAGCCGTAACAATAGACACAAAGCAGAAGGGTAGCCTCAGGGAGTAACGAGCAGAGATGGCAAAGGCCATCGGAGCAACGCCTGAGCTCCCTTCCACGCCATCCCTCTGACATCCTTGTTTTTCCAACACCAGGGACTCTGATCAGCTGTTCACTGTCTGCTGCATTCTGTGTGTTTTTGTGCCTTTTAGTTTTTGTACCGTATGTGTAAACATCACCACTCCTCCATCTGAGACTTGGGCATCACAGGGAACTCGGGGCTGAGACAAAGCAGTTGCTTCCCAAGTAGCGAAGGGACGGTGAAAGCACTTTATCGCCCAGCGGAGGGAGCGTGTTAGGTGTTAGTGTGGGAAGGGCTGTTCCCCCTGCCCCAGGTTCCTGTACAGTGAGCTGGGGTTGCTGTGGGTAGGCAAGTACCCCACCTTCTAGCCAGCTGGCCACAGGCTGAGGCAGCCAGACGTGGTGAGGGGAAGGACC